CTTCTAATTAATTAACAAATTAATTACAAAGAGAAAATGGCCGTTGTCCTGTCTCGGAATGCGTGGATGATGCATGCTCGACTCGCCTTGCTCGGAAACTCACTGCCATGTCCAAAGCTGCCTCTGTTTACACCGCCTTGCTTCTCTGAAAATTATGCAGGTTTCCAGAACTGTTTTGAACTTCCTCCTGAGTGTTGTGAGGTGCCACCGGCCACAATTCAAGTCCACCGGCCATGGGAATAAGATTATCGGCCAAACATGGATCCATTGGCTGGACACTGATGGTCGATCGGCACAAAAAGTGGTTGACCGGCCATTTCTTCCTAGAGAGCCCTATTTTGACAACAGCAGAGGACAGACAGTGCATGGCATGTAATTTTCAGAGCAATGTGTGCATGGCCACTCTCCGTATCATGCTATGGACTCAAGGGGGTGTGGCCCTCGGTACTCGGGCCACCAATCACGCATTTTGATGCATGATAGCCAAAGGCACCAAGTTTGTAAATCAATGTAAATGCATGCAACAAAACAAATGAATGCCTCATGCCTTATCATATTGAGATCAAGGGCATCGGTGATCGAGGGTTGAGACGTGTTTCGTCACTTGGAGTACGAACACACCTCACCCCTCTTGTTTGGTTTGACACCCCAAACCAAGCAAAAATGCAATGCACATATGCCATATGCAATACAAGGCAATGCAACTAATGTAATGCAATATGAGCATGCTAACTTAATGCAATGTAATACTACCTAAACATGCGAGCTAAACCAATGCGACATGAATATGAAATGCAACTAGCTAAACAAAATGCAATTTACTAAGCATGCAACAATGATATAATGGCAAGCAATGCAACAATGCACCAATGTAACTTGTCAAACATGCAAATATGTATAAGGAGAGACTTGAACTGAAATGGGATGCCTCAGCCATGCCCCAAAACAGTGGCCAAAACACCCAAATTAAGGGGCCAAAAGGGGAGACAAATACACACACAACATTGGTCCATAAGCTAGACCACTATGCACAACAATCAAGCATGAACAAGATGGAGTAAACGTGAGGGTATGACAACATAACAAGCTCTGAAATCATGTCAACAACGATACCAAATCATGCTCCTAAGGTGAACAAAGCATGCTAATGGACTTAAGGTTCAAAGCTAGTAAAAAATGCTTGAACTAAGGCCATATCCACCAAGCCCCGCAAGGCCAAGGTGACTGAAAACAGACTTAGGGCAGACCAAAATAGGATGAGAACATGCATGGAACATGGTCAAAAAATGCCAAGAAATGGGCCCAAAACAAAGGGCATTCAAGGCCACAAAAAGGAGGATTCTACTACAACCACCCCAACCACTCATTGCATGGACTATGCAACCAAAAACAGAGTTCCAATGCATCAAAATACACCCCAAAACCCACTGATATGGCAGCCCAAGGTCTTAAACAAAAAGGCACACACCAAGGCCCATTTCAAGGCATAAAAGAACAACTCTTCAAGGCATGAAAGGGATGATGAATGCAAGCACACAAGCATGGGTTATGGACTGAAATAGCATGAGAAGTGATTCCAAATCACTGAAACAACCCAGCTAAAGCATGCTAATGACTCACACACTCAAGGTTCACAAGCCAAAATGCAAAGAGGCTATACCAAACATGGAAAACATGATCAAATTAACATCCAACAGACCTTAAGCATGGAAAAATATGACCAAAAGCTTCATGAAGTTAAGCTAGAACATGCAAGCATGGAGGTGCAAATGCATGGCACATGTTATGACAATAAAGGGGATTACTAAGCAAGTATGTGATGCATGTAATGGACAATAAATCCAACCAAAAATAGAGGCATAATATGACTAAATAACACCCAAAAACCTCTGAAATGAAGCTAAGAATAACTAGGCATGCATGCCACCCTTATGAGCCAAAAAACATGAACAAATGAGACACAAAGGGAGAGGGGTGTCCCTCCCCTATGCAAGACCTCAAAACCTCTTCTTCACCACTGAAAATCCACTAGATTTCAATGGTGAGAAGGTCAATGCACAAAAGTATTCAAAGCTCAACCAAAGAAGGCACAAAAGGGGCCAAACAAGGCCCAAGAGGGGGAGGTCGACCCCCAACACCAAAATGACCTTAATGAAGTATCTTAAGCATGCAAATACAAGACTTTTTTTAGTTATACAAAAAGCTTAAATCAGTATGCAAGATAGGTTAAAATCTAGTGCAAGATTGGGAAAAATAAAGCAATAGTGTTACCCTTAAAGAATACTTCAAGAACAGCAAGTCCGGCCCCCTTCTTCTGATCAAAACCAGCTCAAAACTTCAAGAATAAACCCTCAACACCTCCCAAAACCCAAGTACGGTGTAATGCTAGGTGACTTAGTGCAAAACTAAGGACAAAACACACTTTTAGGCCCTCAAACACACACAAATGAAGAGAGAGAGGGAGATATAGAGAGAAAAGGTGTATATATCAGATATATATGTATTAGGTCTGGTTTTGCTGAACCTCTTCAAAGGAAGAGGAAGGTCCTCTTATATAGACAAGATAAAGGGCTCAAAGCTTCTAAGGGAAGCTAAACAAAAGGTTCAAAGGGGCAAGCTTCTCAAGGAAGCTAACCCAAAGGTCCAAGCTTCTTGAGAAAGCTAAGACAAAGGGTCAAGCTTCCTCAAGAGGCTTGAGCAAAGGGTCCAAGCTTCTTGAGGAAGCTAGGACCAAAAGGGTGCAAAAGGGACAAGTCTTCCATACACGTGTATGGAGGACAAATTCGTGCACTCCAGCTGGCACAGCTGGCATGCACCATGCCTGCAAAAGGTAAAAAAGGTGGTATCGGCCAGAAAACGAGGCAATCGGCCAAATAGATGGTCGACCGACTACTCAAAATGCCGACCGGCCATCACCAATGGCCGGTAGCATTAAAATAAGGCCAGTGACCTCGAGCCAAGGCTGGTGGGTTTCAGGGGTAGCTAACAAGCTACTCTCTACCCTTAGGTGCAAAAACAAACAAGTTCTTGGTGCAAAACCAAGCACAGAACAGTCGAGTTGAGAGAACCTGAGGCAAAGCGTGCGGCCGAGACCTCCAGGAACTCAAAACGAACACAAACATGGATGATCACTGAGTGTTCAAACGGTGACGTCCAAGTCTTGAGGGCGGTCAAAAATGGGGTGTCTACAACGATTTTCTTCCAAAGAAACATTTTTGAAATGTATAGTCCCACAAATGTCTTCATCCTCTAAGAACACAACATTTCTAGTTTCAACAATTCTTGTCCTATGAATGGGACAATAGAATCTAAAACCCTTTGATCTCTCAGGATATCCAACGAAATAACAACTTATAGTTCTAGGGTCTAATTTCTTTATTTGTGGGTTGAAAAGTTTTGCTTCGGCAAGACAACCCCATACATGTAAATAATTCAAATTAGGTTTCCTACCAACCCACAACTCATAAGGAGTTACAGGCACAACCTTACTAGGAACCCTATTAAGAACATGTATAGTAGTTTTTAAAGCTTCACCCCACAAGAAAGCTAGCAAATAGTTACTCATCATGCTTGTCATCATGTCCAAAAGAGTACAGTTTCGTCTCTCAGCTACACAATTTTGCTCAGGTGTACCGGGCATTATGTAGGTAGCAACCATACCATTCTCAGCTAAAAATAAAGCAAAAGCACTTCAATTTTGACCCAACTCAGTGAATCTACCATAATATTCACCTCCTCTATCAGATCTTACACTTTTAATCCGTCTACCAAGTTGATTTTCAATTTTATCTTTGTAGAGTTTGAACATATCCAGTGCTTCTGATTTTTCATGAGTAAGATACACATAAGTATACCTAGAAAAGTCATCAATAAAAGTAATAAAATATTTATGTCCAGAAATAGTTAGAACAGTAAAGGGACTACATATATCAATATGAATTGTGTCTAATAATTCAGTAGTCCTAGTAGCACCCTTTTTCTTTGTCTTGGTGTATTTTCCTTTAATGCAATTCACAAAAGTACTAAAATCAGAAAAGCCAAGTGAACTTAAAATTCCGTCTTTAATAAGACGTTCTATCCTTTCTCTTGATATGTGGCCCAAGCGCTTATGCCACAACATGGATGAATTTTCATTCACACGCTTTCCCTTTTTATTTACCAAGTCATTTACATGGAAGGATAAAAGAGATTGTGCATAAGTGGAATCTAAATTCAATGAATAAAGATTACCATATAATGTACCAAAACCAATCATATGAGAATTGTGGAATAAAGAGACTCCATTATTTCCAAACTTAAATTCATAATCACTGGAATCAAGTTGTGAAATAGAAATTAGGTTTCTAGTAAAAACAGGAACATAAACTGTGTTTACTAAATCAAAAATGAAACCAAAGTCTAAAATTAGACAGAGGGTGCTAATAGCCTTAGCGTCCACTTCTATTCCATTCCCGATCGTAATGGTTCGTTCTCCTTTATTTAGTTTCTGACTTGTAAGGTATCCCTGCATGGAATTTGTTGTGTGAATACTTGCACCAGTGTCAATCCACCAAGAATTTGGTGGAACATCTATCAAAAAGGATTCATAAGACACAAAGTATTGAGTGTTACCTTTTTTGTCTAACCAACCTTTGAAATTTGGACAGTCTTTTCTTATGTGACCTTTCTTTCGATAGAAATGGCATCAAATCTTATTTTCTTCATTAGGCTTTTCATCATTTGTGAGTTTCATCATTTGCATTCTTCTTCTTCTTACTTTTGCCTTTCTTGAAAATCTTTTTGGTTGGACCCAAGGTGGTAAGGTGAGCCATATTAATCTTTTCAACTTTAAGCCTCTCTTCTTCTTGAACACACATAGCAATTAACTTGTTCATCTTCCACTTATCTTTTTGCGTATTATAATTGATCTTGAAAGGGCCAAATTGTGCAGGATGAGAAGTCATATTGAAATGAACAAGAAAACCTTCAGAAATTTCTATTTCCATGTCCATTCCTTTTAATTAAGAGGCCATGTCATTCATCTTTAAGATATGTTCACGAACACCACTCAAACCATCATATTTCATTGTCATCATTTTAATCATGAGAGTACTAGCAAGGGATTTGGAAGTTCCAATGAATTGTTCTTCAATAGATTTCATATAGCCCACTGCACTTTCAGAAGTAGGGATTGCTCCTTGAATTACAGGCGTAATTGGGCTTTTCATAATCATTAGACTTAAGCGATTAGAGTGTTCCCATTTTTTATATAAATCTATGTGTTCCTTAGAACTTGTATCATTAGGCTTTGTAGGTGCTGGCTCTCTTAATGCATAGTCTAAATTCATAATTCCCAAAACAATTCCAATTTGTTCCTGAAAATTAGTTCCACTCAAAACTTCAATACCAGACAAGTAATTATTAATTGCAGTAGGATTCGATGCTGTAAACACATAATATCCATTACATAACTTAATACAATCAAGAAAACTACTTTTCATATGTCATGAATAAAAATAACACCACAAATTCAATATATCTAACTAGAAAGCATAATTAGTTGGATATGAAATCAAGTTATCATTCCATTGTGCCGAATAACAATATATTTTAGCAATTTCATAAAAGTAAATGAGATGACTAATAAAAATAAACAACATAAAATAAAATAAAATAATCATTAAGACCATACTAAGTTTATCACCGTTGGGCAGAAAAACTAAATGTCTTATATTTTTTTATTAACTAAAGCACGTGAGAAGTTTATCACCGTTGGGCAAAAAAACTCATTGCTATATTTATTATACTAATCATCTCAGTTGTTCAAACACACATAGTGTTGAACCTCCGTTGGGCTAATCAACAATGTTTCAACATATAAGATGTGTAACAAAACATTAGAAGTATAGAAGGTATTATCTTAAATACCACTTGTTCAATAATTTATAATTTTTTTATTTTAATATCAATAGAATAAAAGATTGACCAAAAACAAAGATAAAATTGGACAAGTGTAAATCAAGGCTATGCACTAGTTAGACAAAACATCATCATAAAATGAAATTCATACTTATATGTTTCATACATCAGAATTGAGAACCATGCTCTAATACCAATTGATAAAAAAACTTTGAGGAACATAAACTAAAAACCATTAAGGATTCAATTTTATACATGAAAACTATATGAATTTCTACTATACAAAATGAGTGTATACGTACCTTGATCCATGATAGTATGAAAACCTCTTTTGAGAAAGAGAAACCTTGAATAGAAGACCTTAATCTTCAAGTTCTCTATTTGTCTAAGATTTTCAAACCACTTCTCTCTACCTAGGCGATATGAGCCTTCTTGTGGTGACAACTTGAGTTTTGTGATGGAGAGTGTGGTTTTTGTTAGGACCCTACTTGCTGTCAAAATTCCATTGACAAACTCTTGTTTAAATCGAGTTGTAATTTTTCATTTTTCAGTTTTCAGTCTTCCCGCTCGAGTGGGCAAAGTGACGCTCGAGCGGAGTTTACACTCTCACAGTATTTTGCGTGTCTGCAATAATACTGAGTGATGTGTTTTTATGCTCGAGCGTAGGATCTTCTGCTCGAGCGTGAACCCTGGTTTGGAACACGCGATATAGAGTCCCTGCTCTAGCGTCCATTCCCACGCTTGAGCGGACCTTGCGATCTCAGCCTCTATAAAACCACTTGTTGCTCCAACTCTAGGGTCACTTTTCCTAGATCTTCTTTAAGGGTTTTAGGGTTTTCTTTTGGAGATATTTTTCTGGTTTTCCTTGATGTTTGATTGAGGTTGAACTCATGTTCTGATAAGCACACATCAAGGAGTTTGTTTGATTTTTCTTAGATAGTATTCTTCTTCGGTGGAATCCGAAGATTCAAGCACAGAGTAATCAAAGGAGTTTGATACTGTGTGTAGTCGTTTATTCGACAATAGATGTTGTGGATTCAATATCAAGCTAATCAATTCTGAATGATGGTTGCAGTGAAAGACATACAGAAGATTTGAAGGCAAATTGGAAGCGATTCTGGTAATTTGTTTGGTATCTTTGTAATCTTTCTTTCTTCAGTAGTGGATTGATTTGTGGTGTTTCGCCCGTGATTTTTTTTATCACAATTGAAGGTGCTTCAATTGTGGTTTTTTCACGTAAAAAATCGTTTGTGTCGATTCATTGTTTTTGGAAACAACAATCTAAATCACTTTCGTATATGCTTGATGATTTAGATTGTGAGTTTTAATTGGTTTGGAATTGAAACAATTAAATTTTGTCTAATCACGAATCACTTGGGTTTTTCAATTGGTATCAGAGTAGGTCACTCTTTGTTTTTATCAAAACTATAGGAGTGTGATTTTGTGTTATTGATTATATGGATTCAATTCGCGAAGGTAACTCGACCCATAGACCTTTGTTACTTGATGGTACAAACTATTCTTATTGGAAAGCTCGTATGAGAGTGTTTTTAAAATCTATCGATGAGAAAGTTTGGCATTGTCTGACCTATGGGTGGAATGAACCTATTGTCACCATTGATGGTGTTGATATTCCCAAACTCCTTGATAAATGGGATGCGTTCGATTATCAAAACTCGAGTTGGAATGGTAAGGCTCTCAATTCCCTTTTTTGCTCTATCACACCTGAAGAATTTCGTCGTATTTGCACGTGAGGTAGCAAAAGAGGCTTAGGACATTCTTGAAACGATTCACGAGGGTACTACTTCTGTTAAAAGGTCAAAACTTTAACGTCTCACCTTTGCCTTTGAAACCCTTTTTATGCGTGATGATGAGACGTTTGATGATTTCTATGCTAAACTTAGCGACATCATGAATTCATGTTTCACACTCGGTGAAAAAATCCCTGAAGCCAGGGTGGTTGGAAAAATTTTGAGGTCTTTACCCGAGAGGTTCCAATCAAAAGTGACAGCTATTGAGGATGCTCAGAATGTTGATACCCTCAAGCTTGATTAGTTGGTTGGAAACTTGCAGACTTATGAACCCACCAGATTTCCAAGAAAAAACAAAAAGATAGTGTGGCTTTCACTAGTGCTCATGAGACTGCAAAAACTCTTGAGATTGAGTTTGATATAGAGTCTGAGATGATGACTATGTTTACTAAACAGTTCAAAAAAAATTTAAAGAAAAAGAAGTCAAATTTCAGAGACCCTAGTTCAAAAGGCAAGAGTAATGATAAACCCAAAACTTTTCCACCAAAACTTGCTTCAAAAACTGAAAAGAAGATTGTAAAGGGGCAAGGGGTCAAGTGTTATGAATGTCAAAGTTTTGGACATATTGCTCTTGAATGTCCATCGAAAAAGAATTAGAAGAAAGTCTATACAGTGACTTGGGATGATGAAAGCAGGTTAGAGCAAGAACCCGAAGAAACTGAATCCGCTGAAGACAAGGATAGTGCTTTTACGGCATTCTGGTCCACTTTCACTCAACCTCCTCCAAAGCCAATAGAATTTGCTCGTGGTCAGAATCTGCACCATGCTCCTACCTTTGACGGGAGTAATTACTTGTATTGGAATATCAGAATGAGGGCGTTTCTGAGAGCTTTCGACCCTGAAGGCTGGCAAGCCATTGAAGAGGATGTTGAAAGTACTGACAATTTGAGCAATCAGAGAGTTCTGATTACTATTCGTGAAACAATTACTGATGGAGAACAGCAACGGGTTGTTCACTTTACAAAGGCCAAAGATGCTTGGGACATTCTGAGTCAATTTCATGAAAGATGAGAGTCATCTTCACCACCATCTATCATTGTAATACCCCTGTTCTGTATTATGTTAATTGGTCCTTAATATGCGCATGATTATGTGTTTAATACGTTTTTGTGTGCCATTATGTGAAAATATGTGGTTTTGAATTTCTATCTGTTCACCGTAGGAATATCTGTTTGATTATCTGCTTTGGAAATTAAATTGAAGGCCTTATCGGCCACAGAACCCGAAATCGATTACGCCATTGTGATTAGCGTAATTTTTAGAGCCTACGGTGAAATTTAATTGAAAACTGATTCGGATCAGATTAAATTGATTTAATTGGTGAATTAGTGCTCTATTATTATATATTATAATAATATAACAAGAGGGGCCTTTATATGAGCACTACACACACACTCAACTCTTCTTTCTTGTTCATTGAGCCGAAATCACTCTAAGAAAAAGGGGGAGAGAGTCGGCCATAGAGGGGGAGAGGGAGAGAATTGTGCATTTTGACTTAAGCTTGGATAGTTGAAGTCTAGTTCAAGAATTAACCATAGATTGGGCTTCTAGGTGAGCAATTGATTCTTGAATTCATGAGTTAATGTGTAATCTTGTGTGTTCAAAGTTTGTTTATAACAAAGAGCATGAGTTGAGTTGGTTTTGTTGGAATTAAAGCTTGATATGTGCATGCATGTGAAGAATACCTATGGAATCACAAAATCTAGCATGTAAATTGTAAGATTATGAAAGATTGGAAGTGTAATCCCACATGCAAGCAAGTTTTTGTTGAGTTTCATGGGAATGAGCACTAATTGCATCATTAGAAGTGAAAATGAAAGTCAAAATGGGCATGCATGTTGTTTATTAAAAATGGAAACCTTGAATGCATGAGTTTGAGTTAATTTGAGGCATACATGTGATCAATTTGTGAAATTGAGCTCCATGTTGATGTAGTTAGTGTTGGTTCCATATTAGTACAAGTATATGTGAAATTGGAACCATAATATGCAAGGAATGTGGTTGGAATGTCGAATTTGAGCTCAAGAACACAGATCACATTCAGGAAAACCCAGAAATTTGATGTCCACTCGAGCGGGGAAACCGCCGCTCGAGCGTGAATTTCGTGCTCCCAGTATTTTTGCAGAGTTGAATGTCCGTTTGAGCGGGAAAGTTCATGCTCGAGCGGGGAGCTATGTAGACAGGCCTTCAGCTCGAGCGCCAGACTTCATGCTCGAGCGCAATTTTGATGCATCCAGTACTTTTGCAGACCTCATGGGTCCGCTCGAGCGGGGAAGTCCACGCTCGAGCGGGGACCCTATTTTCTGAAATTTTGTTTAGGCCTTCTGTGTTTCGTTTTCTGTTCTCTTTCACTTCAAGGTACTCTTAGGCATACATTGAGCATTGTAAATGAGATAAGAAGATAAGATTGAAGCCTAAAGAGGAAAATGTGAATTTAGAACGGATTGAATTGTTTGTGACCCTTTTGTGTTCATGGAATGTTTAGGGTCGAGCTCCAGGGCAAACCAACCAACTGATCACTACGAGTAATATCTTAACAAGATATTTGAAAAATACTATTGTCCAATTCTTTACTTCTATGTAAGTTTTGTAAGTTCATTAATTTGAATGGTGGACAACGATTGGTATGAATGATTGGGCCAAAGGCCGATGGAGATGAATGATTGGGCCGAAGGCTGATTGATATGAATGATTGGGCCAAAGGCCAATGGACATGAATGACTGGGCTAATGGCCGATTGACATGAATGATTGGGCCGAAGGCCGATTGATCCAAGTGATTGGGCCAAAGACCGTCTGCTGTAACTATTTCTAAGATTGCTTATGTATCTACCTTATATGATATTATTCACTGGGCTTTCGCTCACGCTCATTCATGTATATGTAGGTGAGCCAAGGGACGTCCAGAACCAGCCTCGGTGAAATTGTGAGAAACAGTCAGAGTTTTGAAAAGTCAGCCCAAACGTCTCACACACGAGACTATCTTCGCTTTTGTCTTTTGTTCATAGTTTTGTTATGTTGGCGAAAGCATTGGACTACTTTTGTATATAAGTCTTGGGTTCGACTGACTTAAACTTGTATGATCCTGTATGTATAATGTTTTACGTTGGTACATATTTTGATGTGAGTTATTAACACATAAGTGTTTGAAATGTTATGGTGTGCATATAAGCACAGCTCTATGGACAAAGTTTTAAATTTGCTTCCGTTTGGCCCCTTTACTCTGATGAGTATTTGTTTTACATGGTTTGAGGCCGTAGGTAATCTCGTGATTACTGGCCGGTTATGGCCCTAACCCCTAGGGGGGTTTCGGGTTGTGACAGAGTGGTATCAGAGCACGAGTTAATAACTCACACACTTGTCCAAAAGAGCAATAAGCGTTTAGAAAAGATCTAGGATGCATTCATGTGATATGTCTGAATTTGAATGCATCAAGAATATGCTTAAATGTTTCTATATGAACAGTTATGTGCTATAAGTTTGAGAATTGCTTGCACTGCAA